ACAAGCATGCACAAGACAGCACTGTTGAATCCTGAACCTTGGCAGCATTTTTTAAAGCCATGAAAGACATTCTGCAAGTTTGTAAGAAGGTCAAATTTTATGTTTTTAAATCTTTTCCCTAAAATCTTTTAAGTCATTTGCTAATGATCAAGCTTTATGATCTTGCAAACTCTCACAGCATCTAGTGATCAGGCACTTTACTAGTGAACTAGACTGTCTGGTACATCAGTATATGAATCCTGCCTCCACAAGAGCTGCAAGACAAGCTTCCCTTGTCAGGTAGCTGCTGCAGAATGTGACAGTGACGGCGGTATTAGAGATGAACAGGAGACACATCACCTGATTTCCAGTTCAGCAACATAAATGAAGCAGACCTGATCAACAGTTTAGAATCAGAAATGGCATAGATAACAATTACTATCAGTAATCAATATTGCTTTATTATTTCTGTGACTGAAAAGTGACTAAGCAATACCACTTTCAATATGCACTGCATAAGGGCAAGAGAGTTATATATACTTCAAGTGTGTGTGGGGGTGAGGTTCTACTCCCCCCAAAAAATTGCTTATTTTAAAATGTTCCACAGAGGAACCTTTTACCTCTTTAGTATTCACCCAAAAAGATTTTGAAAGCAATATTACCCTCATGTTATAAACACAGAACCTGACAGAAAGATCTGAAGAGTTTACAAAAAGGAAAAAAAAAAGTAATTTTGTATAGGAGCACTGTAAAAGTCTACTTTGACAATTCTAAACTGAAAAAGAAAAATTAACTTCTTGATAGTGCTACATATTTGAAGCACCTTTACTAATAGTGCATTCTACATCTATCAAATTAACTAAGCTAGAAGATAAGGAATTATAACATGTTAAAATGATTTGGATATTCATCTTCAATACTTACTAATGGCAAGCCCACTTTTAATCCTACTTAGCTATTTATTAGGGCAATTGAATGCAATTTCACTATTATTCATCATTATGGTTTAAGATTTTTTTATGCTCTAGTCTTGCTATTATAAGTCTATATTAGAATTGCTTTTCTGTTTCTTTAAACATGGGTTTTGCTTAAAGTGAACCATAGCAACTGCAAAGAAGTTACCTGCACCCCCTAAGCTCAGAGTGAATTGCTCAAGCATTGCTAATTTTGAGGTGGGAGGAGTTGTAGAAATGAGGTCTTTTTATATAAAAAGCTTAAATGACTCATGAAAACTCTTTTGGCATAGCTTATACATGCTTGACAACAACAACAACATATATATAGCACCATCCATCACCGAAGTGCTGTACAAACTAGCCCAAAAACATTGGGCATAACAGGCTATTTCTGAGAGCAGGGAACTGGCTGTTACCAAGTCAAGCTTCCTTATCAGGTACATAAAGTACCTTACCCTTGACATGCAGTAAATCAGTGTTTAAAAAGTACAAGGTACCTGGCATAACTGTCCAGGAGATTTCCAATTGGTCAAAATGTCTGCAAGGGAATGGGTCAACACAAACATACTCCCTTAAAGTTTCTGACCTTGGTCAAATTTCCAGGCTAGTCACCAGCAATGGTGCACTGTCACAGATGAAAAACCTGAATGTTTTCTACAGTGCTCATACAGCTGCACACTAATCACAGATGGTGGAAATGAAGTGCATAATCTGCTGAAAAGGGCTATTAAAGAAGAATCAAGATCAACAGACATGTCTGGATCTAAATGTCTGGTCTACCTATCAGTAAATGCACTTGCCAATCAGTTTCATAGGCTAATCAAAGTACAACTGCTTTTTACTCTCCAGCATTCCTTTTAAGATATTCTGGAATTTAGCTCCACTAGTGATCTGGTATTTATTTTCTACTTATAGCTAAAGTCAGCTTATACACACAACTTCTGCCACCCACAGATTTTCCTTTCTGTCAGTCCTGCTTCCAGTTCTCAAATTCCTGCATCTTTCTCTGTCAGCTAAACGTTCTTGGTCATCTGGTCTGCACAGCTAGAGATTTACACTGCTTTAAGTGCCATAGTCCTGGCCCCTTGACTTAATATGAAAAAATTATTCTAATAAAGGAGCTAAGGCTGGATCACATCCAAAGACTAACAATATTGTTCCTCTTTAAGCTCAGATGCTGCAAAAGGAAGTTCAACAGAAATTAGATCATATGTAAACAATATGCCACATAGTAGCATATCCAAAAAAGTATAAAGTATTACAGACTACATAAAAAGCCTTATATGTGTCCTGAGAGATGCCAAACATCTGGCTCTACTGCTTTTCTCTGCCATCACTGCAACTTAATATCAGAAAAGTAAATGCAGAAACTTTCTCGAAGTGCTGCTGGCCCTCCATACTGAAGACAAAGCACTCACAAAGGAAGAGCATCAATCAATCAGATGACACACGAGTGGCTTTCCTTAATTAGAGACTAGCTAACATTAGAATTGGCAAGTGAACAGAAGGCTCCATACATTGCTACCGCTTCCACCTACAACCTTTATCTCAGTTCCTCCGCACCTTATACTGACTACCTACCCCACACTAGTCTCTTTGTCTTCTTCTCCCACTCAATTTTCTGCTTGAAAAAGCTCTCCTTCTTTTACGTACCAGGTAGAACTCCCTCCCTTTCTTTCAATACTTCCTTACACCAATTCCCTCCAGCTTCTTTGTTCCACTCAGTCCTGTTCGAGGGGCCTCCACTGCTATTATTCAAACTGCACCACAGGGACATTGCTTCACTCATCACACACCTTGTCATTCTATAAGACAAGTGTAGGCTTGAAGACCTTCTGTAAAGCACACCTGATGGGGCAACATGAGATCTTAGACCTTACAGTGAACAGCTGTTCTCTTTTAGTTGTTCATCCAGTCATAACTAATTCCTCAATCCAAAATAAAAACCCAATGGTCATATGAAGGATAGAAATTAATTCACAAGTCCCTGTGCTCTGGTTTGAAATTCTCTGTCACTTAGATCGAGACCAAAGAAATAGCCATTCTTTCACATCAAAGACAGCAGCATTCTGGGTAACCAAAGAGCAACCCTGACAAGGATACGAGTTAATTATGAAATAGATCCCAAGATAGGGCTGGCAATTAAGTGTTTACTCTGCAACATACAGCACTCTAGAAGCACATCTGGAGCAGCCATGATATGCCCTTTTACAGGTGTATGTACCATTCCATCCAGGGCCTTCCAGCCTGTATAAACCACTTGGCAGCTACTGAAGAATCTCTCTGTTCACCTCAACTTCCTATAAAAAAATTTTTTAAAATATTCTTATGGTAGTTTACTCCCACACGAGAGGATCTCCCTAAAACACACAGAAATCCATAGTACACACGAAGCTCTTCAGTTACATCAGGTGTGCAGACATTCCAGGTCCTTCACAGAAACCTGATCAACCTGAGTGGTTTTTACATTACTGCTTTGCTTTCAAAGCGTGTGCAGTACTCAACACTTCCGAGGCCCTTTACATTTCCAAAGCTCTATACAAACACCATTTAATTAGAGACAGCTAACAAGAATATCCCAAGATACTGAATCTCAGCATGCAGCAAGGATTTTTATTTTTTTCCCCCCATAAACAGGTAAAATTAAGGATTGAAAGATGCCTAAAAGTGTGCTGAACTGTGGAACAATACCTTCAAGGAAAAAGTTGTTATATTTGAAACTTCCATACTGCCAGTGTGTAGGAAAGATCCAGCCCAGCCTGGCCAAACAGAAATGGCTCTGGTTCACTGGTAACTATCGAGAGGATATCACACATGCTGTCAGATGCAGTTTCTATTCACAGAAGACATCCACATTGTACATACACTTCTCCTTACTGGCACCACACTGCAGCCATGCCTCTAGGGGCTCTGCTCTGATGAAAACAACTGAAAAGAAATCAGTAATCCCTTAATTAGTGGCACCCATTTCACCTTCTGCAGGAATAATTTAGACAGTCTGAATGGGCCACATGTCACACAAAGTGAAAATTTAATAACTGAAAGTGACTCAGGTTGTCCGCTCATTTCTCTGTACCTACAACTTAGCTGGGGAAGGCTACTGAAGGTAAGTATGCAGTGTTAACTTAGAACAGCTTCACAAACCACTCATTGCTGCCTTTTTCAAAAGCCTCCTCTCCAAATTTCTGATGGGAGTTGCATTACACCAGGCAAGTCACGGATCCTAGGTCTCAAGCACAGCTCCAGGAATACACAATTAGGGCCATGTTCCCTTGAATTTTCATACAGCTCTTGTTTAAGCCACAACAGCAAGGGGATTAACTGTACTTTCCTAGCTGAGCTACTTCACTGCTTGCTAGATAAGAACAGAAGCACACACCCTAACCACCAAAAATGTCTGTTAGGTCTCATCATCCATTCTGCTACTCCCTTCCTCAGACCTCCCACGCAATAATCGCATCATGTCAGAGTCCTACAAAGCTATGTCCAGTAGATTATGTCAAACCCTGTAATATTTATCTGTCTCTGGATACAAGTGGCATGAAACAGACTTACCTACCATCAACTCAAAGGTCAGAGTTAAAAGCCTCTCTTCCCTCACAGTGACATTTCTAAGCTGCTCTCTTCAGAAGGGGCTGCACACACTCCTCTATGTGTATGCAGCTCTGACAGTAAAAAGGAAAAGTAAGGTCCATCTCCCTTTACCCAAGAGCCTGTTTTCCTTCTACTCACAAATACCTGAGAGAAACACTACTCCATAAAACATTACTCCCTTTCTCTAATCAGGTGAACAGGGACTCAGGTAATGAAACAGAAAAACAAAGACATTTGGATACCATGGTGATCATGGCCAGACAAGAAAGTAAATTAGCTACCATTATGATAATGAACTGGCTTTCCAAAAGAGGCAATTTGCATGTAGCAACTGAGAAGCAAAATAAAGATGCTTTAACAGAACTGCTGCTTGCTGTTTAACCCTGTAGCAATGGAACAAGCAGTCACAGCCACCAAACGGTCACTGCTCTGGGCTTTTCCTATTTGACTGTCACTGCAGATGCAAAGTACCTGACCAGAGCTCCCTCCAGGTGTAATGAAGTCTCACTCTGCATTTCTTCTGGTAGCACAGCAGCTTGTGCACAATCTGAATGCACCGTCTGGAAAAGAGAGGGCAAAGAATTAATGACATTGCATTTTCCAGGAATTCTACATCAAACCTGGAAATGTCTCCAAAATCAGCAGCAGAGAAACTCAAAGACTATCAGAGGAGGATGGGACTCATGGCTTTGAGCTCCTAAAAGGAATGAAAAAAGAATCAGACAAAATGAAAGAAAGGGGTCTGTATGTCAGTTTAAGCTCAACTGGATTGAACTGAACACAAATGCATATTCACATTGTTTAATTAACACTTTCCACTCTTTGCTACCCTTACCTGAGAGTCTCATAAGCTCTACAAAATGAGTTACTTTTAAGCTCCATATGTATGAGATACTGTACATTATTATAAAATCTGGACACAGTGGAGTTTCTCAGTTTCTTTGGCCCAAATGATGAGGCTAAAGGAAGTAAGAGTGTCAGAAAAACTACAGGATTTTTAGTTTGACTGAGGTGTGTGGTTTAACTACATTTTAAAAAAAAAAGATAGACATTTGTATTCATTTTTCCAGTCTCCTTAAAAAGTAATTTAGGTGGAGCTTTGGAATGATCAAGCACTACACATACAAGCTCTGGAATCCCCCAACACAGCCAGTGTACTTGTCAAGTCTCCAAATAATCCTGTAGGTCTCTATAGCATCTAGCACTCATATGAACTCTCAGGTGCACAAACATTCTTCACAAATAATATCAGAACTAAATATACAGTATAATGAGTAAATTCTCTACCACTAGCTATCATTACGGACAAGACAAAAAATTTATACAAATTTCAATTTCTTAGGTCAGGTTATTTTTAGTTATTAACATTTAGAAAAAACAGAAGGAAGGCCTCAAAAAAGAAGAATTCCTTTTTCCCCAAATCCTTATTTGTCAAAAACATATCTCATTAATGTGAACATCTTTCTGAAAAGACACTGATGAAAGACACTACACATCAGATAAACACAGAGAAATCAAATCCTATAAATTTGCAAGGAATTTATTTAAAATGGTGTGAAGAGTTCAACAGCAGGCTTTAAAAATAAGGTTGTAGAAAAAAATATGCAGAAGGTGTATCTTATTCTTTTCAGACCTTTAGATGATCCCAAAAATACCACAATGAGGTAAGAACTAAAACTAACTTTGAATGAACAAAAGTAACCCCATCTATAATCGCTGAGCATCACAGTAAGTGCTGTATTTCAAATAGCATTCTCATAAATTCAACCAAGAAAAGGAAGCAAACCAGCTAGGATAGACAGCTGTCTTCAGATCAGGAACAGTAATCACTCTGGGAAGAGACCTCCTATTTCTGATGTTACTGGTACCAGACAATGCCCTTTTCACCTACATATTTGCTTGGCTGTAAGTCTAAAATTGGCCTCTACTAGAAAAAAAAAAGCCAAACTCTATTTAAGACGCTGACCAGAGAGAATTTGCTAATGGTTAAAACATTTCTTTATAATAACAATAGCTGTTAATGCAAAATAATCTGCATACACATCTCATCACTGAAACCTTGTGACTGTACACAGTAGCACACAGCTACTGTGAAATCAAGGCACGGACAGAAAGGGATTAGAAGGGGCATAACAGTCCTAGTACCCCTGCCTAGACTCCCAAACTACACTGCTTTAGTTGTGAAACTGCTTTAGTTATGAAGACATCCATCCCGGTGGGGTATTTCTGTTGTTTAGTTTTATGCTGAGGATTCATAATACATATAATGGACAAAAGGCACCCTTACTCTAAGCAATCTGGATTTCTCTTTTAAATATTAATATGCCTGCCCTTGAGCAGCTTTATGTTGTCACCTTTTAAATGTACTGCAGAGAAGTATGACACTACTTGTGCATTCAGAACACCCACTTTGTCTGCAATAACTGCGTCTGCTATGGGATGGTTTCAGACAGGAGTATAGTGAAAGGACTGCACAAACATGCCAAAATGAATGGATACAAATGTCCACTGGTGGTTGCTACTACTCATTGTTTTTAGACTCATGGAGTTTCTGGATGTGACATTACTTCTGAGCCCAAGCAGTTCACACCTTTCTTGTGAAACTCCAGTGCATTATACCCATCTACAACTAATTCTGCAACTGTCACTAAAAAAAAACATTTCTCACAAACTCAACTGAACTATGCAACCTTTGAAAAGGCACTGTAATTGCAGGGTTATGTGGGCAAAATCAGAACATGCTGAAAAGTTACCTTAAGGGAAAACATCCTATGTGTCTTTATCTTTTCTACAGAATATAGTGCTGTTCATGCCTTGGGGAAATTCAGCACTGTACAAACAGTCAGAGCAAAGCCAACAATCTGCCTAAATCCTATTTCTGCCCTCTGGGCTAAAGCAGCACAAAAGCATTTGAAGGGCCCCCGTGGGACACATGGAATGCTCATGAGTAGCTCTGTCCTCTTGTCTCCTTTTGCCCATTGCTCAGTTTTACCCCTTGCAAGCTATTTCAGGCTTAAACCTCTCTTCCTCTACTCATTGCCTTCCAGGCCTCATATCAGTCATCCTTGGGTTTTTAAAACTGTCTTTTCTGTTTCTAGACCAAGACTCATCTTCTGGGAAGTGGGGATTCTTGCAATGACTTTGTGTTATGAAACTTCTTTTAGACTGAAAAGCTCTTTGTGTTAGATCAAGTAGATTAGGAAAACAGTCTGAAAGGTAGAAATTCATTTCACTTCCAATTTTCTGGCACACAGAGGATTTTAGAAAAAGTTACTGGAAGAGTTCATGAAATGCCATCCTGCTACCCACCAGCCACAGTGCTATTTCAGCAGGAAGATCGCTCTGTGAGTAGAATTCCACCCGAATTCAAACTTCAAATGAAATCACAGTGAGTTACCCCACAACACTTACACGTAGAGATCCATAGGAAATTCTTTCATCATGTGTGTTACAATGAATTCCACCATCAAATCTGACAAAAAAGAAAATGATTAAGTAAGTATTGAGCTGGCTACTGGTAACATCTTGTAGACTATGAGGAAATCAAACTGCCCCACCTACCTACCTACCTCTACCAGACAACAGTCCTGCTTAGACGAGAGGAATTTCACTTTTTTGTTTGTTTGTTTTAAAGAGCATTGGACATCCTCTAGAATTAGAAAAGAAACTACTGCAAACTGATGGTATATACTGTATCCTTTTGCTTTGAGGCGCTGCTTCCCCATATACTTTCCCCCACTAAGAGTCAAATAAAGACTATACAATGAATTCTGATGTTTAGAATTGCTCTCATATTTCAAGCCTTGTCACTAATGGAAAACTCCATTTAGAAGCACATTTTAGAAAATTATTCTTACAAGAAACAATGCACAACCTAGAAGGTTACTTAAAGAGACATTGTAAATAACACCTATTTTTGCCTAAAACAAATTCTGAAGTAAAGCTAGTTTGATCTCAACATAGGCTAGGTTTCTGCTTAAGATTAATTCAGGGGGGAAAAAAAAAGAAAAAAGGAGAATGGGTTGCCCATTTAAGGGCTCCCAGTGTGAGGATAAGAGGTAAATAACAGAGAAATACAATTGAAAGAGATAAATTATGATGGTTCAGCTAATAAATGATAATCGAATGTGTGTGTGTTCAACACAACTTCAGCAAAAAATGCTTATCCCATGCCAGTGGTAACAATTGTGAGTTGTAACCTCCCAGGGCACTTATAGCCCAGCAGTATGACTCAATAGTGACTAAAAACAGTCTAGGGAAAGAGTGCATAAGATCTGATAAGTCTAGAAATGTTCTTCATACAGCTGTTGTGTCTTGGCTTCAACACGTTTGAAAATGCTGGAAGACTGCTTCCATACCATCCTGCTTAAGAGTCATTCAGGGATCCAGGCTTCATCCATTTCTGAACCAATTTATTCTTTTGGCCTCCACAGTAATGAGAGCCACAATTTAATCATGTGTTGTATGAAAAGCTTTTAACCATGCCTCCATATCCACAGGCAAAACCAATCCTAGCTACTGACATTCCTATTGGTTTTTTACCCAGAAAAGGCTAAATACCCAGCAAACACATTCACAAACATGTCCTTTCCATAGGTTTGCCATCCTCATATCACCTACAAAGTACTTAGGGTTGTTACCACACTCACCTAAAACTGAATTTATTAATCAACTGTCCTCCCTGTTGTTACTAGTTCATATCAAAGGGGCCAACAGGCTTCTGTAAAGCTTACTGTAAATATAAATAGGATTTCTTGCTACAGAGCTGCAATCTTGGATTTAAATTGTCTGTGAAGCAGCCACGTATGGTATGGAGATGGACATTCCACTGTTGGAAGCATCTTTAGTATGTTACTGTCCTCCTTTTAAGTCCATCCACCCCTCCACTTAAGCCACAAACCTCATATTTCTACTGCACAACAAGAGGTGCCCTGGGAACAAGCACACAGGTACTGGGACAACACTCACCGAGCACCGCACACACCAGCGGGCGGCAGGGCAGGTTCTTGTCTGCTGCTTTCTTACGATGTCTCATCGGCTTCAAACACACAAAGATGAAAAGAAATCAGGAGAAGCCTGAAGTGACAGTCTGTGTATTACTGTATTTTTCAAGCAAGTAGTATTATCAGCACAGGCTTCCCTTTGTCCTTTTCTCCAACTGCTGTCTTACTTATATTAATCCTAAAGGCCATGGCTGGAGCAAAATTGTGCCTGCTTTTCCATAGTGGGGTTTTGTTTCTCTAGCTGTGTAACTGGAGGGCACTGTTATACTGGGGGGTGGGGGGTGGTGAACACCACAAGACAAAAACAAATCACACAGCAATTCCTCCCCCTTGGTTAACACACTGATTTGTTCCTGACCCAGAAGTCTGATTGGCATTCTTAACAGTGTGTGCATTATTCAGTGGCTTTGGTGTTTATTGTAATAGACCAGAAAGGCTAACTAGATGGCAAGTTTGTTGTTAAGTGGCATCCTTGGAGTATGCTCCTATAAAGTAAGATGTTTGTTTCTGTTCTGGATTAGTGACACTTTTAAGTGCTGCTTCACTGTCAGATAAGGTGGAATTTGCCAGTATCACAAAGACAGAATGCGTCAAGTTAGCATAACCATTCAAGTTACTTGTTACTACAGAGCTTCATGAGCCACATAATGACACTCCCCCCACAAATATCTATAGGAAAAAGCTCTGGAAAAAATACTTCCCTCCCTGAAGGTGAATCACTCCACCCAGGATGAAGCATAAGCCAAATGAGAGCACTCAGTGTAATTCCAGCTGGCTATTATATATCACATGAAGGCTCATGCTCGCTGAAGATTAAGGCAGAACATTTCCTCTGCCACTGATTTCCTCAGAGATCTCATAAAACGCAGCTCCTCCCCAGCTACACAGGCCTCTGAATTCACTGACAGGGCAACCAGCTCTTTGTTCTTTGAAGAGACATTCTGAAAGCGATTTCAAAATCATTCCCCAATTACTGCATTTCTCACAGTATTTCTACATGCCTTAGCAATCTAGGTTAGATGCCTGTGACACAGTTTTCAACATACAGGGTCTCAAATCCTCTCAGTTTGCATCCCAAAGAGAAAACAATCTAGAGGAAAAGACTCACCATTCTATGTAGGTTTACACGAAAATTCATGTTGTCATCATGAAGAAAAGCATTAGCATACTGATCCTATTGAAAAGGGCAAGAAGAGGGAGGAAATGTGAACAGCCCAACATCTTACAGTTGCCTCTCGAATCACACGTGTTTCAGTGTAATATTCCCAACATATAACTATAAAGTTTAAAAGACATCTGTGACTTCTTGCCCCCACCTATGTTTCCAGTCACACAAAAGTAAACCCCTCCTGATCCCAATTCCACTTTAACTAAAGCCTGAACTACTGCTTGTTTGGTTAGCAATTTATTTTCCATTCTCCTCTTCTGCTCATTCAAACTCTGGACTGCACACACCACTATGTCAAGAGTTCAACAAGTGCTCCAGATGTATAATATATGAAGGTGGTTCTCCAGTACACCAGTTTCTGTGATTATGTGGATGAAGGTTTAAATTGGCATTTTGATGGACCCATCATGCCAGAAGTTACTGTAGTACTAGCAGCTGTTCCACCCCTCAGGCAAAGCTCATTCCAAGACCATCTCTAAATTAAAGAGACTTCTCCAGATAATGCACAGCCAAGATGGGTAATAAATATAACCTGCCTTAATACCAGAACCAAAGCATGCCCTTGTTACGGAGAAACAGAATTTCTTATCTTGTGTTATCTATGCATCCACCTGAAGAAAAAGTGCCAAACCCATTTAATTAGAAAAATTTAAAATGTAGATGATTAGCTTTCAGGTTGTACCCTGAGGAAACATTACTTCAGAATCCTTACACCTGCTATCAACATCACCCCTTTTTATTCTTTGTTAAGAAGTAAAGGTCTTTATTTGCAAGCAAGCAAAATGCAAATGCCATGCAAACACAATCATCATTCAGGACATCAGTCAGACCATGAGTATATACTTCCCATGAGACAGGACCACATTCTGCCAGGACTGCTGACCTAGCTCTGTGATGCTGCTTTCTCACCCTACTATCACATCTGCTACTTGTTTTCCTTGTAGGGACCTACAGCCATGTGACTTTCTTTCAAACTTCTATCCTTCTTTAGCAGAAGGGATATGGCATAGCCTGTGTTTACCATGAACAGCACAGCACTGAAAGCCATTAGCACATTACTCATCTAAAAGCCACATCACAAGGTCACTTGACAACTAAGAGAGAAAAGGCTTAGGTTCACTCTCTTCTCTCCATTCTTGGGAGTTGGATTATCTTATTTCGGTTAGCCAATTTTCAAGTTCCAAGTCAACTTTAACAGTACTGTACCAGGTTTATTAGCAAAACATTAAGTGCCTGAGGTCCTAACCACTCAGTTCCACTGTGGATATTAAACTCCTGCTCCACCAGAGGCAGGCAGATAGAGCCCTGTAACACACCATCTGCTGAGCAGATTCACACAAGAAACTTACCTCTGCTATGCATGTCAGGATGATCAGGCACAGTTTGCCACTGTGCAGCCGGTGCTCATCTGCAAAGAAGAAAAACAAGTCCTCTATGAGCAACACAAGCCTAGCAACGCTAAAGAGAGAGATAGTTGTTGCAGCAAAAGAAAAGCCCAGCTTGGAGATTATTCATACTCCTACTTCCTCTGTGATATTTAATAGTCTATTCCCATTAGGCATTCACCCTCCAGCTTGTCCACTAAATCCCACCCCACAGTGCACCAAGAGCAAAAGCTTCAGATTTGAACCTCCAGTAGCACTGTAACTATCCGCTGGGCTTCCAATCTCATTCAGTTTTACTTCCACAGATACTCTAAATACTGGGGTTAGTCCCTGTCTTTCTGTCACAGCAGAGACACATTGTTCCCTCTCTTTGACAAGATGGAAAGAAAAATATCACCTTTGCTGTAGGTTATGAAACAAGCAGCAAAGCTTTGTCAGACGCACAGCACGGTGTAGCAGAATGACTCCCGACATTATGCTCAAAGTTCCAAGTTTTAACCCCAATACTGAGAGACACGACCTACTTTGCTCTGTGCAAAACTATGAAAGAAGGAAGTCTGCAAAGACTTAGCATTTCAAGCTAAAAGAGTTTCACACTGATCATGTTCCACAACTTCTTATTCATCTTACACTTTCAAGCAGCTTTGGCCCTGAATGACAATGGGAGGGCTGAAAGCCACTAATAGAGAGGGACTAAGGCAGAAGAATGCAATTTTTACTTGGATTATTTAAAACTCTCCTCTCTCAATTTTAACGTTGAATATAAAAAACCCTCAAGATACATATAGTCACAGAGGACCACAGAATGGAACAAGCCTCTGGTTCAATCTTTTCTCAAAACAGGGCCAGGTAAGACCAGGTTGCTGAAGGCACTGTCCAATCAAGCTCATTTAAAAATCTTTGTTCTAAAAACCAAACTGCTCACACTACACACCCCCAAACCGACAAAAACAAACAAACAAAATCCAACAACAACAACATACCTATAACTAAGTCCTGAGGAAGCTTAAAATTGCACATTCCTGAGACCTCCAACAGTTTTTCTAAAGCATAAGACTACTAAACATCCCAGGTATCTGCCTTAAACTTGGAGAAGATGGAAATACGAGACCCACTTTCATATAAACCAGGAGACAGCCAAACTCCTTGCATCTTTGCAGATGACTTCTACAAACACTTTGCTAGCTGGTGTGTATATGGTAATCTATAAAAATAGATAGAATGGGCTTAGCTAGCTGCTCTGTCTAGTTTGATGCCTCATTTTCTTTACTATGCTGCTGAGGGACAGATATTTACAACAAGATATGCCCTGAAGTATGCTGATTTCATCTTGCTGCACTAAGTAAGATGAAGAGGAATTTTGGAATGGGAAAGTTAAATGTCTCTCCTATTTTCTTACCTCAGCTAAAATGTTATAAAGTCTTGTACTCCAGCAAAGCAGGAGAAATGGCCTCAAATAACACTGATACACAAGAGTCTTATTATATTCATATTGTAAGGCCTCCCTGTATATTTCTGTAGGTGCTGCTACCACTTCTCTCTCTGGGGATCATGCTGTAAAGGCTCATTTCACACCAAGTACTCTGCCTTCCACCGATGCTCTGTGAACATCACGCCATTTTCGGCAGCAACGGGGCAACTATGCAAGCAGGTACTTACACAGCCACTTTGTATTTCACAGCATCCTTCACCAAAGGAACAAAGCAAGCCACTTTCTAAGGGGAGGTGTATCACTATAAACCCTGCTTCACCGGAAAAAATGACACAGAGGTTTTGTTTCTCCCAAGGCAGTTGCCTCTGATTGACACAAGAGAGGAAAACAAGAGGATCTAGGAAAAACAATCTATTAAATTATGCTCTCCAGGACAGGACCAAAATAACTGTCTAGTCCTGGATGTGGAACAAACCAGTCTCCCCTCTAAGTGTTCCCAGTTGTCTCAAGACACCTGAAGTAAATTGGAATTATTCATCCTTTTTGCTATATTGGTGTCACATTGAATCATAGAATCGCTTAGGTTAGAGAAGACCTTTTGGATCATGGAGTCCAATTGTCAACCCAGCACTGCCAATCTACCAGTAAACCATGTCCCAAAGTGCCTACATGTCCTTTAAATACCTTCAGGGATTGTGACTCGAGCACTTCCCTGGGCAGTCTGTTCCATGCTTGATCTTATACAAGAAAAAATTAGGCAGGGCTCCATCTAGAATCAAAATATAAGGACAGGAATATACCCACTAGAACTAATAAGTTCAGGTTTGGAGGGCACACTTTAAACGATCGATCAGTGGAGCTCATTGCCCCACACTACCATGGTGGGAGGGAGATAAGGTCTATCAGCCAGACCAATTTCAAACATTACACAAGCTAGAACCAAAGCAAAGAGAGAAACATCAACTCCTGTCTCATAACATAATAAACTCATCTCTTACTGGCTTGTTTAGTAAGGAATCCCCTCTATCAGATTTCACTCCATCTGAAACTAATCCAGTTTGGCAGTTCCCGAATCCCTGTGCAGACTTTTCATGTTACGGTGACTAATAAGTGCAGAAGTTAAATTGAAAAACACAAAATTCTTCCATCAGAGATCTGGATCAGCAAGACAGACCCTGAGAAAAGCAAATGAGAATGATTAGAGAGCTGGTAAGCCCTCCTCATGTGTACAATCTATTGGAAATGACTGAGCAAAGACTGATGTGGTTTAGTTCAAAAGACAAAAGCTAGAGGAAACATGAAAGCAGACTTCAAATACATAAAGGTTGACACAAAGAAAAAAGAAACAATCCATTCTCAATATCTATCTTGGAGAAGATAGACAGTAATTCAAATCATAGCAAAGAATTTAGGAAGCACATGAAGCTTTCTCATAAAAAGGATGGTTAAACACTGGAATGGACAGTCTGAAAATGGTGCTCCACCATCACAGTGTCTTCATCCAACCTGTCAGCAACACCTCTGAGAAAAGATTCAGGTAAACCTGATTCTGCCTTGGTTTTGAGGAGTTGTCAAGGTTTAAACCCAGATAGCAACTAAATACCGTGCACCTGCTTACTCACTTCCAATGCTTCTCCTCTTCCCCCAGTGTGAAGGAGAATCAGAAAGAAAAGGTAAACCATGCGGGTTGAGGTAAGAACAATTTAATAATTAAAACATCGTCATAATAATAACCATAATAATCATCAGCAGAGTGAGAGAAGGTAACAGAACCCAAGAGAAACAAGTGACCCACAGTACAATTCACGATACAATTGCTCACCACCTGCTGACCAATACCCAGCCCATCCCTGAACAGCAAATGGCCCCTTTTGGGTAACTCTCCCAGTTTATCCATTAGGCGTGACATTCTATGGTGTGGAATATCCCCTTGGACAGTTCAGGTCAGCTATCCCAGCCATGCTCCCTCCTTGCTTTTTGTGCACTTCCTCACTGGCAGAGTATGAGAACTGAACATTTCTTGATTTAGGGTAAGCACTTCTTAGCCAGGGCCAAAATATCAGTGTGGTATGAATATCATTCACATACTGAATCCAAAATAACAGCACTGTATCAGATACTAAGAAGAAAATGAACTGTGTCCCAGCCAAAATCAGGACAGGGGTGCACTTGACATTTTCATAAAGTCCCTTTCAGTCCTAATTTAATTTATTAACTTTTTCCCCAACTAGTTTGCTTATAGAACAAGGCAGCCAAGTGTAACTTCACTGTAAGCTAGTAGGTAAAAGGAAACTCTCCTGCCTGCTCTCTTATTCAATGCCAAGCAATCACGAAGTTCAATAATTGATGTATCATAGCTCTGCAGCTGTCATCCTATTTTCATTCAGTTGTTACATCTAACTTAACAGCAAAAGTCAGTAATAGGCTGAAACACGGTGCAAAGATCACTTGTTATGTTCACACTATGGTCCTGCCCACAGAGCCACTGGGCAAAACAGCACCCTTGGGTACCCTGAGCAGGAGATGAACCAATACTTCAACTCCAGCAAGCTGAAATTAACCACCACAGTACTACAGCAGAAACAAAGAGCACACCATGGAAAGATACTTTCTCAAGCAAATTACTGCCAGTGCAGTGTAAGTTACTGCTGTTCTCTTTACAATTACATAGCTACATGTTTAACCACTAAATATTAAAGGACAAAGGAAATATTTCCTCCTAATGCTGAGCTTTACCTCCTGTGTCAGTTTCTAAGTGCTCTTTAAAGTACAGTTCTCTGGTCCCTGAGACTTCCTCTCTCTGACAGTTGGGAATCATGTGCTCACACCTCCTGCATCTGGACAGGCTTGGTTATTAGGTACTATAATCTATTATTAAATTCTTTCCATACTTGACATCTTTCCTGCCAGCATTAGGTCTCTCCTAGTCTCATAACTCTTACCTCGCAATAAGAAATTGCTTAATTTTCCCAAAAGGTGGAATTCCTTGAAAGGGACTCCAGTTCACTTCTATTTCTGGAGTCACTAGACACGTTCTTGTGACCTCCTCACTTCAAGAAGCACTGTTTGCTGCATCCACAGAATTCATTTACCTTTTGTGTCCTGCATCACAATCGAGCTGTACTTCAAGAAGGTTATCAGCAGGTTGCTGGTTTGCACATCAGCATCCAAAGGTAGCTCTGCAGAGCTTATAACTGGAACAAAGCAGATAAGACACATTTATCCTATACAAACACAAGAAGTAACTATACAGACAACCAAAACACAGACTCGCATACCTGGGGTAGGATCGGCTTACTTGCAGGGCCATCTGACCTCCTCCTCCCTCATGACCACCCAGGAAAGATTTTGTTGTGAAGACTGGTACCACTCCCTCAGAGACCATTTTCCTGCTCTAAGCACAGGCTGTGATACCTGGTAAAGTGATATCCTTCTCTGTCCTGTCCCTGCTCCTCCCCCCAGGGAGCTCAGCACTCATCAACATCCCCAGCCTAGGGAGCTCAAGATATTTGCACTGATATCCAATTAATTCTTATGACCAACACAGACAACATTCACACCATTCTCAGTCTGGAAAGAGATGTGCCCAGCAAAGGCCATTCTGTTTCAACCATTTTAGAATTTCAGTTCCAAAAGATCCACGCCAATTCCACTGTTCCCTCCCAACAAGAGTCTGTCTTGCAGAAGCAACGCACAAGATATAATGTAACAATTACTGACCAAAGCCGTAGAAAAGGAATGCAGAGAGATCAGCTTTATAAAAATCAAGAAGCAAAAGCAGTCACAGCTTGTGCTAGATACATCACAACCAGCAGGGAGCAGAAATGTACTTTCCATACCTGCAGCAGTTCACTGGCATTTCTCTGGGACACCAGCTGTACTTTTGATATCTTAACAGTGGACATCACCTGCCTTAGACTTCGCAAGAAGCCATCTCAATTCCTCAGCTAATTGCACGGTGTGCCTCCTGCTCACTCCCCATGCACACCATCTGAAGCACAGAGTTCACGAGCTGTCAAACCCCTATCACGTGACTGAGCCACATTTTTACTGATGACTGTGCCTGAGCTGTCCTAAAGGGCCGTTCTCAGCCTTCCCATTCAGAAAGCTTTATGAGAAATATTGAAAGGGAGGAGTAAAAAGGTAAGTGGTAAAAATGCAGCATGCATTTACCTGCAGATCCTGCCAGTCTGATACCATTTAAGGTAAATTAGCTCAGACAAAAGAACCTCCAAACTGATGGAGGTAGTCTAGGAAGACTTCAGTAAAGTACTTAATACAGTTCTGTATGAAAAATTAAGAGTGAAGCAGATAAGTGGGAAGCAATACTTAAATTTAACGTACATCAAAGATCTGGTAAAGGAGAAGCAATTGGAGAAATTATTAGTCTGAGAAGAAACTACCGCTTGAATTCCTTAGGTGTCACTTTAGATAATAGTTCTCGTTTTTGTGAGTAACCTGGGCACAAGAAACAGTTGCTTGCTAATGAATCTAGAGCATGGTGCTAAAAGCATCAAGGCTGTGAAGTTCAGTCCCCATATGGGCCATTCACTCAGTGATCCTTGTGGGTCCCTTCCAACTCAGAATATTCTGTGAAATCTGCTAATTGCAAGAAGTTGGGACATGTAAACACAGAGGAGTATCAGACTGTGCACAAAGAATAAAAACAAGAACAGGTAATAAATACAACATGAAATTCAACGATGTAAGCCATAGGGTCAGGAATTCAGGGATTTATTTCTATGGCAAACCGAGAGCTCATCAGCTGCCAACAAACTGCCATGATACACTATCAGATCGTGAGATGACACGCTACCAACACAAAGGGCTCACAAGTGGTTCTACAACATAGCCAGAAATGCACTTCCAGCAGAGACAGGAACGCTGTAATGCCTGGCACAAGGTGCTGGTGAGACCTTGTCTCAAACATTTTCCATAACTATGCAGAACCCACGTTCAAAGAGGATGAGCTTAAACTTGAAGAATATTAGAGAAAGGTTAGTAGGTGGAACATAGGAAAAGAGTACCCTTCTTGTGAGACAGTAAAATACATAGGTGACTACCCAATGTATGAAAAAGAGCTGTGTTTCAAAGGGAGGTTAACAGCAAGAGAAATGGGTATGAACTGACAAGAAATGCAGGTTGCAAAATTGAAGATTTCTAACCAAAGCTGAAACTCCCCCAATAGAAATTACTGGGAAACAAATTAAGTCAGAGTTCAATAAATTTAAGGGATGGATATGCCTGCAAGCACAGGGCACTAATAGTCTAGGGGATCTTTTCCAGCTCTACATACATGACAATAACATGGCTGTTCTGGCTGCTTAGGAGCTCATACTCACAGGTTTTCACATGCAGGAGGTCACAGGTGGTTTGAATTACAATTGTCAGAAGGCTCTCTCTCCTCTCAAGCTATAGAGATAGCCTGAGATAGGCTTCCTTTTGCACTGGAAACAGACCTACAGACCACTAGGACGCATCTTAAGAACTATATTATCTCTTTTCCATCTATCCCCAGGAACACCCAAGGCTTTTCTCACTCTTGAGGAAAGAAAAAGGTATTTATGATGAGACTGGACATTGCAAGAAGTGAGGAATTACTTATAACTGATTGTTGGATGTCTAGGTTGGGAGCTCTGAAGGGAAGTACTCTTATTCTATACACAACTGTGTTTTGGTTCAGAGAAAACTCAGCTTTAACATGCAATGCCTTCCACAATTCAAGGTTTGTATCTCGTAACCCTGTAATGAGGCTTTTTTATCCCCCTGGAACTGGGGCAAGGACAGGCACAGAAGGATGAAGGAGACGAACCAACAGTAAAATGCAGTATTCTTTAAACTGAGCACAGAGAGGCCCAGAACACAGCAGAGGTTCTCATGGAGCTTAGGATTATACAATCACCTTGAATACAAAATTGTAGCCCTTGGAAACAATAGGTCAAATAGATCAGTGTAACTCCACTCTTTGAACCACATAAAAAAAAAAATCATAATGGGGCTTTCAGCTTCTAAAGGTTGCACATCCCCAAGTGTGAGCTGGTTTAGTCCATTCAAGCTTGATGCCCTGGGGCTCCTGACACATTGCAAACATGCCAGGTCTGTTGGCTAAGTCTGTGCAATAAGACTGGAAGCTTTTTCATTCCCAATATTATGAATAGCTCAAAGATTCACCTAAAAGTCTGAAAAATGTATTTATATCCCCAGTGGGTCCTTCTTGAGCTGTTACAATGAACATAGTGAATGAATATTTAACAACAGTAAGCAAACTGACATTTAGATAACTATGGTGACAGCCACACTTGATTTACATATTATGGATCAACAGTTTCTAGCAAGTCTCATTTTTCGGGAAAAAAAAAAAAAAAAGAAGAAATCACTCTGAAGAACACATCCCTGCTTATCCTGGTTTATGCTACAGACCTTGGTGGTTTTTTTTAAAGACACATTTTGAAACTTTACAATAATTCACACTATAGGCTAACAGCAAGAGAAATTTCAAACCAGAATATGAACCCATTTTTAATCCCAGTCAGCATAAAAGAAAAGTGCTTGAAACCCACAGAGGCATTTCTACATGTTATTGTAACTTGAAAACAGTTCAACTACACATTTTTTTAATGCAGGAAAAAGAAAGCAATCTTTTCATTCCAAAGCCAAAAAGCCTCTTGCTAACTTTCAGCCATGGGCAAATTTTACATCCGAGTTGCAAGACCGTAGAAAATGAGGAAAATTCTGGTATATTTTTAAAATAACAGCAATAGTGAAGCATCACCAAACTAAACCAAGCTGAGGGTGGTAAAAAAAATTATCACTGAGAGCAGGGATCAGCAAGGTGACAGTAAACAGAAATACAGAATGCCTCCCGATGTAGTTGCTGCACATGAAGATGAGATCCTCTTCTTAAATTTAGTAGCCTTGTAAGCCACAAGAAGCCTTGAACTTTACAGGATCACTGCCTCTGCTTAAAGCAGGATGGAGTTTTTGTTTTGATTTTGGTTTGTCTTTCGGTAAATGAAAAAAAAGAAAAAAAAAAAGAGTGCAAGCAAGCCGTAGATGTAGGTAAGTACAAATTCTGTCAGTTGTGTAATACGGTGTGTGGGTGGATACATTTGCAATGAACACGTTGAACACAAGCCCACAAAATGCCCGTCCCTCCACATTTCATGTTACATGCACACAGAGACTTGAGACACAGGGGACTCTTTATCTGAAGCTTTTGTTATCCATGGTAACCAGACAGAATTCATCCCGAGGAGGATCATCCTTAACTAGGGTATCAAATGACCTGAATAGCTGATGTAACTGAGTAACCCAGGCTGCTTTTCCCCAGAAATATTTCCAAACTGTGCCCTATTCAAATTGACTCTGTTCCTTCATTAAACACTTTCTTCAGCTCTAGAGGATGCCATTAAAGTACATGACAACAGCCATTTAATTTCTTCTCTTAAACTAGGCTCTATCTATCCATACCTTAAATTGCAAGGGTTTTATTTTAGGAGATTGCAATACATATTTATGTGGACTTGTAACTCTCATTTCAAAGAAAGATCTTGGGGTAAGCAGTCTTTTACAATGCCTATCAGAGAAAAGGCAGTAAGAGGGAGGAATACTTCCACACCCAAACAGAATTCAAATCCCAATTAATTCAAAGCTGAGGATAACTGCATTAATGACAAGCAGGAATCCACTGCAATTCTCTGTAAATCTGTTCCAATGACAAATAATCCCAAGCAAAGGACCTGACACTAGAAATATTCATAAGTAAAAGTCCACATAGAATAACTAATGGGCTGGCTGTATCTTCATGCAGATATTGGGAGAGTACTGTTTTCAGAAGGAATATCAGCATAATTTCATTGAGCAATATACAATGAAACAGAAATAAATTTGAGTCAAAGAATCTTGCCCATGTTCAGTAAGGCAAGTCGCTTCAGGAGGAGACCATCAGGTTACATCTGCTCCAGACAGATCTCATTAGTTGCCATCTCGAGAAAATACTTTGCTAGTTATTTTATAGTTTTAAATAATTTTTCCCCAGGAGATCATTACATTTCTTACCATCTGAAGAAGGTGGGGTGGTTCCAAGTGGAGTGACGGGTGTCATTGGAATTGGGCTTGTTGGTGTTGTCATTAGGCCCATTTCAGGATGGCTCTAACAGGAAACACACATGCACAGGTCAATAGCTTACCCAGCCATTGGAAACACAGATCACTACTTGTACTGTTCCACAGTCTCACACAGACATGACTAATGAAGTCTCAACAAACTTCAACCTCTCTTCCAAAATGCCAGGCCATGCTTCCTGACCTTGGACATCTAACAGTTAAACAGTACATCAATTTCTTTATTCCCCAAAACATGAAAATATATCAGAAAGTGGTGGCTCTCCCCAGCAGACAGAAAATACTCCCGTGTAGAATGGGAAAAGGTTTGCAGAAGCCTACACTGCTTATAGCTTCTGATTCCCCCCAAAACAACCCAAGGATGTGCATTTCAAGTCTTCCTCCAAGATCCTGTCATTTCTCTTTCTAAAAGCAAATTCTCCTCACTCCTGCCCCCCCACACCTGTTCATATTCAAAGACGATGGCAATATATTACTTTCCTGTCTCACTATAAAGCCCAGGCACTGCAGGACAGGAGTGGATAACATAAATAACACTATCATTATTGATGCTCTCAGCTTCCATCAGTCAGTTACTCTCCCCATTTCATCTTTGCTAATAGTTGCCTGCCCAACTGCTTTGACTTTGCAAGCTTCCAGATCTATCCACACACTGGTGAGAGCATAGGTAATCTGCTATTTTTGAGTCTGGTTGCCAAGCAAAGTGTCCATTTCATAGGGCAAGTTTTACATAAATGTATCATCTGCTTTAATATATCATCACAATTTCAAAATAAAAGAAAGATATAGAACTGCTGATTTGGCATTAGTTCCATAGGATTTTTCACAAGTGGATATCCTTCACGCTGCCTCTGAATATCTCATTTATGAGCAACTATAAATGCATGTAATTTATGGGAAGCACGGACACACATACTACAACTCAAAGACAATTTTACATCACTACAGGTCTTAACTTAAACTTTAAAACACAATTTTTCACTGTAAGTCTTACATAAGCCAGGTTTGCTTCCACAGATTTTGGGAGTTTTCCTTCTTTATCCCGAACAGTAACTGGTAGTTGAGAGACAAGAGTGCCACCCAGCAGCAAACCTGAGCACCCACGGCTGGTGAGCACATGGAAACCTTACTGCTCCATACATCCACACAACTGAATCCCTGCTCTTCCCATGTGTCACACAGCAGCAGGGAGCCATTCATGCAGTGCCAAGCAATGGGCACCAACTTAGGCAAGAGCATTCATCAGCTTTTAAGAGGTTTTTCCAATATGACATGACCTACCTTGCCCTCTCTTAAATGAAGGATTACAGACAATCCACCCAAGATCATCAGGCCTCCACATCAATTAAACCCACTGATCAGTGGCTGCTTCAGCTATTACTTTCACAAATAACTAGTCTATCCTTTTATTTTTAAGAGCTTTTACTCTATGTGATCTTTTTCTGCCCTACTCTTTTCCCTGCCAAAGGTCTCTCTTCCCTCAGGAATATCTTGACCACAGAAAGGCCTGAGTTGGTACTACACAGAACTGAAAGAGCAGAAATCTCTCACAAGTGGTAAGAATGAATAACCTGGGAAAAGACAGGCAGGGAACCTCAGCAAATTAACCGTCCATGAAACAGAAGCTTTCTTCAGAGGCTGCAGATCTGCTTATCAGACCTCTTCCATCACCACTACTGTCAGGAGTCCTCAAAGGTCTCCTCCATCATGCCAAGTGTCTAGCCTGTGATGTATGGTTGCTCTTTGAGGACCTGAAATAACTGGGGAAAGGTGCTAACTGTTTTGCTGATGTTTTTCTCACAGATTAATACCAATACCTAGAAACCAAAATTAAAAGCCTAAACCTGAAGGTTTACCTAAACACATCACGCTACTTTTGCAGTCAGCCGTAGCCCGATCACCAGATCAGACGGGCTCATTTTCTGCCTTCCAGCAACAACCACCTTTGCAAACTCACATAGTGTTTAGGAAAGCATCCAGAGCTTTGTGATCAGAGGTATGGAGCAGCCCACTGCTGCTCAGAAGGCTGTCATAGCTGTTTCTCCACCATAAACAGCACAAGGACAAGTGTCCTGTCTGGCAACAGGTTCCCAAGCAAAACAGGCTGGGCAAAACAAACAACATCACACAGTCTGTGCACACCCATACAGGACAATTCATCCAAGTTTGGAGCTGAATCAGTCTCTTTCTCTCAATACTAACTTAACAAAAGTGTGATTTGCTCTAAGAGCTGCAGCTACCTTATCCCTACTAGTTCACTCACTCCATCCTCCCACTAAGTGCAGTATCAATAGAGTACAGAAGGGACTCCATGCAGCCCTTCCCATTTAGTGGGAAAAACGAATAATTCCAACATGAACTGTGACCTCAAAACTCTACTGAGGAAGCATTTCCTAAAATGCTTCTCAGTCCCTGGCCTGAGTCTGATCTTTCATGCTGATCCTATGACAAGTATGCAGGGACGTACATCTTTTCACCAATTCCATTTCTGACTCTCTAATTTCAAACACATGCACTACAAAGAAATGGGGAAACATTCCACTGAAACTCACCTGTGCCAGAACTGTGATGAAATTCCGGTTTAAGTGAACAGCTTCATAGAGGGCCAGAAGGATTGCTTCATTCGTTCTGTGGGAAGGATACAGACAAAGGCACAGTTAGTGATCAGAATACCAGAACCCAAGTTGTTCAGAAGCAGGGCCTATCTGAAAAAAGAAAATGTTTTTTTAGCTACAGAAAACTCTGCCTCTGCAATCCAGTTGTATTGTATTCCAATTATTAGTAGTATTCAACAATGCATAAAAATAGCTATTTTTAGAGCTCAACTACAGACTTTGTTCCCTTCCTGTTGAAGGTGTCCCTCGTTTCTCAAACAGTGCTTTCCTTTGTTTTAAGGCCAGAGGGTCCTGCAGATACCAAAACCCCTCATATTTATCACCTGCCCCCTTGATTTAGAAAATATTTTGGTGGGGAGAAGAGTACATGAATTATCACTTCCCATGTGCCACCTCCAACATGCCTATTATATGTTATAAATGCCCCATAAAAACCACTGCATTTTTTTTTTATAGACTTCATTACAAGCAATTCAGCTGCGGCTCCTCCTGCTGCACCCTTCCCACTGAAGGGAGAATCCAGTTTGCAGTGGTGTGGTACTATTTTAGTGACAAGAGAACCTGTCTAATGTCACACAGCCCCTGTTGTTTGCTGTGTGACATTAGAACAGCTCCATGACAGAGTGGATCACGCCGACCAGCTCATTGTGTAACTAACATTTGTGCACTTACTGGACCGAGATCTTTTCATCAGCATCTGCTATGAACATGCTGCCCACCTATGGAAAGAGAGAGCATTGCACAGCAGGAATTCGGGAAAGCTATTAGACAACAAGAGAGAATACATGGATACAAACAGATTTGATTTTGCAGTCCTGTCACTGACCAATTCTTCACCTGTCAAATCACAAAAAAAGGAAAAAAAAGGACTGGACCTTGGATCCCAGCCTGGATTAGTCTGCCATCCTTTCCTATCTGCTTGCCCCAGAGTGGTAGCAGTTTCACCCAAGTCACTCCTGACAGACAGCTGTTAACAGTGAACTATCCTTACTTAAAGGAAATTTTCCTGTCAGTTAGATCTCAGACTACAATTAAATGTCAGATGAAAGCAAGGCCAAACTGAACAAGGGTAACAGTAGATACTCTTCACAAGGAAGAAATTCACAATTGTCTTTGAAGGGTAGCCCTCCAAAAATGTAGACAGTGCCCACTGTGGAATCCAAGTTTACCCCATGGTCACTCAGTACACCCAGACTTGAGAAACAAGACCGTAAAGGAACACAACCTCTAAAGCTATTGACAGTACAGACTGTGCCACTCTGTTCTAGGTCACATCAGCAGAGCAGTAACTTTTTTAAAAAAACAAGTAGCTGTTTAAAAGTGATTAAGAAGTTTAAAAAACTGATTAAAAGGGTTTTTTAAGTGATTTTTAAAATCAACTAGAATGACAAAGATGCAGGAAAACGATTTCAATTATCAACACCAGAATAGAGATCTCGTCCTTTGAAAGAGCTTTCCCAGCCAGACAACAACACAGTCCTCAGAATACAGCCATTTCAGTTGTATTTGGTTTGGATACGTTCAATCCATGCCTGCAGAACCCACATCCCAAACTCACAGTTTACAGAAATGCCCTCCTGCTGAACTTGCATGAAAACACCTATTTTAAGAGTAGAAAAAACACTGCTTCCTTACCATATTAGTTAGGGCTGAGAAGAAACCAGTCTGATGCTCCTCTTCCTTATCTTTGTATTGCCTGAACAAAAAGAAATAAGGATGAAGTTTCAGAGTTATACATGGAACTAAGGTTATTTTACCTAAACCACTGTAAGATAGTCTTATCTGATAAGTATACAGGATGGAAGAAGCTTCAACATTCACAAGCCTTTTTCAAGAACTCACAAAAGATGCTAAGGGTATTAAAATATTTGTAAATTCTGTAGAGTTGAAATGGGTTTGCTGAAAGATGTGAGAGTTGAACAATGCTTGTGGTGTTACACAGGACATGGGCAGCCTGGGCTAACACTGAAGGAAAGGACTCCAGTGACTTAGGAAATTTTGTCCTGCACTGGAAAAACAGTAATAAGGCACATGAAGCAACAGTCAGTAACCACAGAACAGTTTCATTTCAATCATCTGCTACAGATCAAATCAGAGTTGGCCACCCTAGGGCCAGCAGAAACCACACAGACCATTATAGTTCACGGCCTGGTCTTGCCTGATCCCACATTCCTGGAGCAAGTGAAGAGACTGGAACTGAAGTCAAGGTATAGGTTGGATACCTCAGATTTAAGCTACGTTGCTACATTTGGCATTCAAATGCATTAGAAAAGTTTACATGGTCATTTACTGTGTCTGTCATATAGGAATCTCATCACACACAACGTAATATGCAAAGTAAGCAATTCCAAATATTTGGAAAAGGAGGAAAGAAAGCACTGAGCTAAGCAAAACAGGTCATGGTCTGAGACAGCTTTTGTCACAATGAAGGAAGTTGGGTGAGTGAGCTTTTTCTGCTTTACTCTGATAATTTACTCTGTTACATACATGATTTGCTGATCTTGCAAGTCACTTGCATAACTACAACAGCAGACTTCCAAAGGAATTAAAACATTTTTCTGGATACTTTGAGAATCCCACTGCACAAAATAATGTTATGTGTTCCTCCGGTAAAATTGCTGTAAGTTCTAAATTTTTCTGAAGGACTTTCCTCTTGGGAAAATGTACACATTTTGAGCTGCTGCATATGAAGCTGAGAACATGCTACCCTGCTGCTGACTTTCTGGCTCTTTCTTCAACAGCAGTGACTGCTTTCCACCATTTGGAAGCACATGCATGCCCCTAATCACCTCTGATCTGGCACGTGGACAGGCCTGGATACATTTGTTTGTTTGTTTTAGATAGTGTTTCAGTTAAATCCATTTTCTAACAGAGAAGTTCTCAGCAAATCATTGATCTTTTCCTTTGGGACTAAGATTTTACACAAGGTTCATAGAGAGGTAAAATCCATGACAATAAAAACATACAACAGATATCTTCCCCTAGAGCAAGATCCCTCCTGAAGCACATCAGCCCAGCTGGTAGAGATGGATTCACTCTTGCAATGACAGCAACAACTGAGCCAAAGTATCCTAAAGCATAGGACTATTCCCTGCCTCTCTGGGTGCATCAAGCCTATTAACTGATAAACAAGTGCTTCAACACACAAAAAAATGTTTGTGAAAATGTACAGCAACTATCCTGTACTGAAAAACAAGACACAATTAGGTTTTACCTGTTATATTCCGATAAAGCCTGGGCAATTACAAGTCCCATTCCCTGAAAAAAGTGTTAAAAAAACTTCACATTACAAATCTCAAGGGAGGAAATCACACACTGAACACACATAGCAATGCTGCCCCCCCAGATAACCTAGCATGCTATGAAGAATTTCCTCAGAATCATCTTCCTCAGAAGAATTAACTCAGAATCACCCTTTAGTTAGCACGGAGCTTGCTTTTTACTTCATGCCTAAAGAACAGCTTCCAAGTCCAGACCTCCATAGCTCAGTGTGCTGTCACTTTTTATCCAGGTCAGGTTACAAAACTTAAGACTACAACCCAAAATACGTTGCAGGACTTTTGACTCAAGTACAAGCCTCCACTGAGCTACAAGAATTGACTTGTGGACTTGTAAAATCGGGTGACATGGAAATGAGATCTCTGGCATATGCCACCGTGTACCTCTTTGGCATGTGACAGCAAATAGTGTATAGACAGTTCATAAATGTATAGCAGATCAATTTTAAGCATGTTTCTAGCTACCTAGCTTTTTAACCACCCCCACCATTTACTGGTGATCAAACTGTCTAAATCATGAGCGCCCTAACCCATTGCAAGAGTACAGTTAGGGCTGAACAACCCCTGTACTGGTGTTTCTCAGAGTAGTACTGTTCCTAGACCTGATTTCTACAATACACTGTGCTTGCATTCATTCCACTAACACCACACATGAAAGAGCATCCCCAGCAGCACAGAGGAATCAAGTCAAGTACTCACATTGAGCGTGGCCTCATCATCCACGATGGAGAGCTTCACAATGTAGGGATTCACTGACTGCTCAGCATGGGGGGGGGAAGGAAGAAAGAAAATTGCTTGTAAGTTCAGCCTTCAGGAAAAAAACCACTATTATCTTTTCAAGTTTACCCAACCACCTGGGAAGAATCTCTCTCCTGTCCTGTAAAGTAGAATACACACAAAGACACAGGAGTCACAGCACATGCTAAGGCTGCTGTGCCTGGGACACCTTCTCCTACTGGCTCAGCCAGGCAGTCTCCCGACTTTATTGAGAACGGGAATTTCTGCTCCTCTGCGAGCTCATCTGTCAGTCTTGAAAGTGGAGCAGCTGTCCTGCAAGCCTGTTATCTGTGACACACACACTGTTATGCAGCAGGAACAGGCAGTGAAGCTGCGATGGAACATCAGCGTTCTGCTATCTCCCTTCTGCAACACCTTGCAAAGATTGCTTAAAGGAAGGAGGACCCAGGAAGGCAATGTTAGAGACTCATCTGCTGCTGGGTTAGAGATCAACACTTTGTTTACACCACTGAGAGCTGGAAGTCTCTGGAGAATATAAATTCCTTGAACTTAGTTGAACAAAGCATGCAGACTCTATCTATAAAGATAAATGCTAATAATTTAGGAAGCATTTTAGATTAGCAATGCACATTTGTTTTTCCTGGTTTATATGTGTCAGTGCAAAACTAGAAAAAGTTGATTTCAAACCAAGATACGGAAGAAAAGTCTCAGTCTGTGTAGTAAACCCAAAGTGATGGGAAGAATAAAACACAAAACACGCATCAGTTGCTTGACAGCAAGTTAAAAATAAGGCTGATCAGAAAACACCACTCTCAGCTATCTGGTGCTTTGGGAGGATCAGTCTTTCTCTTTGGATCAGAAAAGAAATTGATCAGAACAGTTCAAAGCTCAGTCAGCCTCTGAGCTGCCTCCAGCAGCACCCAGCCCTGCTGCTGCCTCAGAAAAAGACACAAAACTCATACAGAACCCAGCTGTGCATGAACCATGCAAAGACATTTCCTTGAGGCTGGAGTAAAGGCTCCTATGGAGTAACAATATGGGGTCCTCTCTCTACAACCATGCTCCCCTTCAGAAATTAAATTTAGTCAGCATCTGTGGAGCAGAAGCAAACATCATAAAGTCATAATTAAATATGGATTAAAATCCATCCTTGTAAATATACCTTAGTTTTGCTGATTTCAGTCATTCAACAGGGAGAAACTTCCCACACAACAGTTCGTGCACAGAAGAGGCCAGCCTGTGACTCATGACCAATAAAAGTGATGGGGCTTTTCCAGGCAGTGGTCCCTGGCTACCCTGGATTAGAGGCTGCAGGGTTACCCAAATTCCCAGATGTGGGAATAAGCAAACAGGGAGATACTACACTGACCAACACCATCAGGCTGACCTGACACCTAGTCATACACTCAGTCCCATCAACAGAGAGGGAGGGAGAGTGGGTTGTTCCTTGTCATCTCCAGCCTGTGAACAATTCTTCACACTCCCACTGTCCTTGACTTTCCAAGATGCATGCTCCATGCCTCCTGCCTCTTGACAGCAAGATGCCAGCAGTGCACAGCAGAGAGGGTCATGAAGCCGGCCCAGCTTGCTACGGATCTCTGCCCTCTGTCTTTTCAGTTGTCACTTCCACACCTGCAGAAGTCTTTTTAGTAATTCCTCTCTGAAGTATTCCATTCCCCTGACACATTTCATGCCTCCTTCTAGGCTTCCCTAACTCCTCAAGCAGCAGGCAGATTTCAGTGTATTTCACGCACCGTATGGGGTGTGTGGGACAAGGCAGTCTCTACTGCACTGGTATGCAAGTCTGTACCAGTGTGATGGGAACCTTTCCAATGCTCCCCACAGGACATGCAGTTTGCTCATGCTCCTCCTTGAGAGCCCACAGCTCCAGGTACAGTCCATGAGCACTAGTCTGCACATCTATGATGAGCGCCAGCAACCTGCAAGTTGTACAAGCACCACAACCAAACCCACCCCATACTCCCTGCCTGCTTTCCTGTTCTAATCCTGCTGTTTCAGAGTTCAGTTCCCCTCTCACCAGGAATCAGCAGAAATGTGAAAAGTCAAAATTACACCTGCCACTCCACAACATGCACAGACATGCAACAGCCTCGGAAAGCATTTAATACACATTTTGAAAGCTTCAAATTGTCAGTGAAGGAGTTACAATTTTAGAAATAGTTTCTGCCTCTACCTGCAGACAGAAAGAACTCAAAAATATGATTCTGAGCTCTTCAGACAGCACAGGTCTTTTCCTATCACTGCCATCAGGTAACAAAAAAAAAATAGCATTGAGATCTTCTTGTCAGTCATGACATACAGACACAAACTCCTGGAATCTGGGAATACTTGAGATGTCCTCCATGAACCACCCATCACTAGATGCCAACAATCTCATAGAAATAAAGCTGCAGAGGGATCATTACCAGGTCATTTTTAAAGTAATCCTCAGGTGAGACATGCTATACAAAGTGAGTATTATATGGGAAAGTACACAAGTCTGGCAGAGAGAGCGATATCTCCTCCATGCCCCCAAACACATCTCTGAGACCTTCAACACAAATCTATGAGAAGTAAATTTTAGGTAGGTAAAGAAAGCAGAAAAAAACCAAGATAATCATGTATAATCCCTACTTAGGTGCTTAACTTATCTTCACATCTGTAACAGAAACGAAGGCCAGAGTCCACCCAATCACTCCTCACAAGAGCTTTCGCTGAACACTCATTAGAGATGATTCAGCAGGTCATTCTGCAGGGAACTGAAGCTTGAGTAATTACTCTTTTTGTTAAAGAGATTTGTTTAAAATAATTTCAAGATCTTTTTTTTAATAAAAACAAAAAACCCCATGAACTTTCCAACTCTCCAGTGTTGTGTCTCTTCAGCACCTGCAGTAGTCTATACCAAGGAGAGGCAAGTGCACATAACCAGACACAAAGAGCTGTTGGATACACTCCATGCTGCCAGACAATTTGAGAGAAGACTACAAAATTCACATCCCAAAAATATGAAAGAACATTCTGATGCAAAACACACTGGTATTCACACTAAAGACACACACAAAATCAGTTGGCTAATTAGCAACCGATGGAGTTCAGACAAAAAGAGAACCTATCAGCTGCAGCACAGTTAGCTAAAAAGAAAATTTCAAAGCATTTGAGGCATAAAAGTGTGCTACAATACATTGACAACCAGGCAACCACCAGAATGATTCTAAAGGCCAAAGAACAGCAAATGAAAGCAGCTACCGTACTTAAGGAGAAAGAGTCTGACTGCATTGCTACAGGCTTTGCTTGCAGCACTGCTACAAAGGGCAGTGTTGGGCAATTGTCACATAAAACCTTTCTGGGAGTTTCTTTCAACCTTGCCAGATAAACTGCTCAAGCTGAAGTTTCCCTTGCCACACATCTGCTTCAGCTGAATTGTACCTTTTAAGGATCACAATTTCCTTTGAGTGCCAAGTTTCAAGACATCTAGGACAGTGTTCTCCAAAGCACTCAACTCCAACTCAATACTCCACAGAAAGCTACAGCAAAGAGCAGAGGACAAGTCTCATGTACTCACTGCATTCTACCTTAGGAAGGACATAAGTTGTATTCCACAGGGCTCCATACCTCAGGGATGGGACTACACAGCTCTCCACCTTTTGGTCTGAACTTTGCAAAGACACCTCTGGTCTTTCCAGCATGCCCTCATCAGTACCCTTAGTCACGTTATTGCCAACAGTTTTCCCTCATAGCCATAAAATGAAATCAAACTCCATGTTCCTGTTCCATGCTACCACAGCACAGATTGCTGAACAGAACCTGTAATTCACGATTCTGACAACACTGATAGGAATGAGGAATTGACAGGCATTACTTTGACACCAAGTATAGCTTCTGTCTTTGCATATTCTCTAGATCTATTCATAATTCAAAACAAGATCCATTATAAAAACAGGTAGGTTTTGAAGCCTGTCCCTCCTAGTAATTCAGTTCAAGAAGGGGCATTCCAGAACTTTCCCATTTGTATATTAAGGTATTCCTGTTTGGGAAAACAAAAAACAACTGACCATTAAAGCATCATGCCTCATGCAAAGAAAAGCCAACAGCAGGTGTTTTTCCAACAGTCAAAATGGTTTTTTTTTCAAGGTGATGAATAGCAGGAAAAAATGGGAATACATCACAAAGCAGTACAACTGGTTTAGAAAAAGGAAGATGAATTAAGTTCCTCAAAGAGGAATCCGTCAAAGAGACAGAGAGAGACTTCTCTTGGAAATACTAGCTGTGATGTTTCAGTTCATTCTTTGGTCACAGCTTCACCATCTCTTCTGGGAATCTGTGCTCTTTCAGTCTGCTAGTCAGGTTCTGAATCACAAATTCAGTCTGAAGCCCAAGATGACTGACAGCCCGTTTAACTTTGGAGAATATGTATAACTGCACACTCACACACACACAGAGGCAAACACGCTGGTTTGGCACAACAGTAACTCTTCCAAAAGGACCTTCCTCAGAATGTTTCTACGAAGAAAATGCAAATTCCCTAGGTATTTTCTTTCATGCTGGTGCATAATGAGCTGTAGGAATATCGTACACATTTGATTATAGATGTACATCAGAGACAAACACAGCATAACAGGACCGCCTTGCAAAGCTTCTGCAGCTCCGCGCTGATGTCCTGATAAATGTTACAGTGTGCAGTGCTAAAAACTGTACTGTGTGCTGCCTTAATAATAATCCAGCCTAAATTAATAAAGTTGAGAGAAGTAATGTTTCTGTTATCCAGAAGAACACCTACCTCATACTTTCTGTAGTTGACCAGCAAGGCCAGAAGGACAACAGCATCATAGCCATGTTCCCTGCGACTCAGTGGGCTGGACAGGATCTGGAATAAACAATCACACTGGTCTGTTCAGGCCTGCTTCAGGAAGCTTGCAGTGACTCTCAGAAAGTGCATACCCATGAAATGTATGTGTAAGAGCAAATTATGTCCTATCTGAAAAAGGGTACTTAAGGTCAAGGGATTGTCAGCATCTCCAGGAAGTTATGCACACAGAGAAGCTTATTTATCACAGAAAGAATGAACACAGGCTTTCAGGACATAAAGGGCAAATACATTTCTCAACAGCACTGGACAGTATCTCACTGAATCACCAACGTTACTTGTGCAAGTTTTCTGGATTTCCCCAAGCTCCGTTCCACTTCTAAAAATCATAATTTATCAAAGAGCAGAAAAAACCTTGATATATCCCCACTGCCTTTTGAAAGAAAGTTTCTCTGATACAGAAATTCTCTGCTAAATTAGCCCAGAAATCTGTTCAGTTTCTATCTGTGCAGAAATGTCTCAAGTGAAAATAAATACTCAGTAGTGACTAAAAACAGCAGACTAGAGTACAGAGGAGACAACATTAAAAGAAATATATATGACTGAGTTATGAATGGAAGTAACAACAGTGCCAGTGAGCTGTGCTGCTTAAAGCTGAAAAGCAAATACATCACTGAAAGCTCTCACTATGGAATAAGAGCCCCTGCAGTGAAGGAAGAATGCTTACCTGTAAAATAGCTTCAAATATGCTGTTAATCATCACATACTCCAGGATGGTGTTCTGACTAATGTTATCCGTCACCTGAGAACAAACACAAGGTTTAAAATCCCACACGAAGCCTCCCACTGATGCTGCAGCTGCCTCTGGCACACACCAGGAGCACAAGAGTTCTACTCCCAGATGGACACATTTATCCAGAATCTCACACTTAGTCAGCAAGTCAAGGTGTGACCATCAATAGAGTTAGACATGAAATAAAAGAAATATGTCCTGCATCCCACCCCTCCCTCTGGCAAGAAGCACAACCCACGTTCTAAGAGCTCCCCCTTTCCCCCACACATTGGTATCTTACACAGCTGTACAACAACAGCCATCAGCTGTTGCACATTCTGCACAGGAGGCAGAAAATGAAAAACAGGTCACATACGTTCCACTGAGAACTCTCCCCATCATGAAGAGGGCAGTGAAGACCTCCTCCACACTCAATTACCTCTTATCACAGTCAAAATAGTTCACGTTTGACCATGTCCAAGAGCTGATGAGTGGCCATGTACTACAACTTCCTCATTCTTCACATTCTCACCATTCTTGTCTACTCCACACTTTGTCTTTCCTCAACCCCTCTCCCATTTTTTCCATTTATCTGAGACTTCTTAAATATCTTTTTCCCTAAAAAAACCCCACACCTGTGAATCCAGCTGATGCTTCCTCCTGCCTCTCCCCTTTTGCCCCAGGCACCTATCTTACAGGATTCTAGTCTGCATTGGCATTGTGGTTAGAGCCATGATGCATATCCTGGACTGACCCTTGTTCTCATTCACAATTTCTTTGCCCTTCTTAAGCTTCACACTGCAGCCTTCTGCTCAGGTTTTGAGACAGTTCCATCCCTCAAGATGTGGCTCATATAACCCCTGAAGTTATTATACAGCTGGTATTTACTTACAGTCACCAAGCAGAGAAGTAGCTTCAGACACAAGCTTTTGAGACTTTCAGAACCTTCAGCACAAAGGAGTGAGTCCAAGCTCTCCATCAGATTCTGAAGAACAACGGTCACATTATTTAAAAGCAGTATTTTAAATTATTTGAAATATTTTTTATAAACAACTTTTTGAAAGATTCAAATACAAGAGCACCAATATAAAGCCATGTTATTCCACAATCAGTAATTGAGCCATTATTACTGCTACACAGGCCATATTCACACTATTGTTTCTCAACACTGTTTTGTGTTAACTACATTTTAATGACTACAGGCATAACACTGTGATCATTTTCCAAGAGTTTTCTCTAGATACATGAGATTTTTGTACACATAGAACAAATTATTTTATTCACAATGTAATTCTGAGCTCTACAAAATACGATTTTCCTTTTTGTTTGCAAGACAGTAATATCACTGCTTTGTTTTTTCTATATTCCATTTTACTTATAGGAATAAAGACTTTTTTTGTAAGCAGCACACTTCCAATTAACAGTACATATATAATTTATGATTAAAAATAGATCCTATATAACTGTTTTACAGATATTCATCAACACTGTTTTTCAAATACTAAGTTACAGGTAATACAGTTTTCTTAATGGAAAAATGTATTTCTGATAGGTAAATTACTACTTAATATTTTCCACAGTGTACTGCAATTTGTATAGAGCAGAAAAATTGCCACTGTTGTAGAGAGATGAAAGACACAAAAAGGATTCAGCTTCATCACTGATTACTTCATCAGTTCCCAAACTCAACATCTTTACAGTGAAGAGCATCAAATAATTTTAAAGCAGTACACGTGCTGATGGAATGTGAGAACACAGGATATGACTATCAGACAAAAACTAAGTACAAGGTATGAGGTTCAATACTAGGTACTAATGGCTTGTGGCAGCCTTTTCTGGCTTTAAGATTTCTTAATTTCTGAGTGACTGCACAGCGTAGAACTAAAGGAAAAGAATATTTATTCTATTATATTACTAACAAACTGAGGGAGCCCAAGTGTCTTTGTGCTACCAGCAGGTAAAGAACTCCAGAACAGTTGGTTTTAGTAAATGGCTGGAATATCTCCCTCCAAAGTTGCACCTTGGTAGGCACATGTGTCTACAAATCACTGCCCCTGCAACACAGTTGCTGTGCAAACTGTTCCTCTACATTACCAGGGTCTCACCTTCATACACAGCTCTGCCTTATCAAAACCCACAAGCATGTTGATGATGTCAAAGCCAGAAGTGGATTTGTTCTTCTGATGGACACCCCGAATTAATGCACACAAAGTCTGCAAAGGGAAAAAACAGAATGTAAGATGTAAGGCAACAGGTCCAACTCAGTAGCAAAACCTGCAGCATGATGCTCTCCTGGCACTGGCAAAGCACAGATATCAAAATTAATACCAGCAGCCTGGAAGCCATACATTTTGTCTGACCTCTCCTTCACCTCTATTGCTTCTAAGGAAGATCTTGGATGCTGAAGACTCAAAAAAATTGGAGAAGAATGTATTTGATCATAGTTTTTCTCTTTGAGTATAAATTTCTGTTTGGTTACCACAGTGCTATAACTAAGCCTGACCAGTAAACTGTCTCTTTGTCAACAGCAACAAAAAAGCGAACAAACACACCAAAAGAAATGTCTCCAAGGCCATTAGGCAGCTTAAGCTTTCCTAACTCCCTCCTTCATGTTTCTTGTTGCAGGCACTGGATTACTGCATCGTACCAAGTTCTTGGAGATCGCTGGCAACACAAAGGTATCAGCACACCATGCTTCCAACAGACACCCTGGAAAATTTATGGACATGACTAATTTGCCCCAAGAGAGGGAAATGTCTGTGGTGACTTTTGTCATCAGGCACCTCTCAGGCCTGCGAAGAGAGGAATGAGCAGCAATATAGCCACTGCAGTTTTAGATCCCAGCTTAAATTCACCTGTGAGAAGTAATTAGTTTCAGAAGATGTAAAGTTGGAGACAAGTAGCCCTGAAGGAATTAGCACACGTCTGGAACTATACAGAAGAAAAAGGATAAGGTAGACATCCTTTTTTTTGTTACTGTGAGAGACAAGATATTGGGCTAAACAAACCCTTGGCCATCAAAATCATTCTCAAGAAATGATTGCTTAAATAAGTTTTGGCTTCAGGATCACTTTCCAGATCAAACTCTGATTAAGGGAACACTCTCCTAACTCAAGCTCAGGACATGTTGCCTCACTCCAGTTTACACACACACAGCAGTATTCTAGACTTAGCCCTGCCCTAACTTTTTCCAAGAGTCTGGATAAAAGTTGGGGAATTCAAGGTTGGGCTAAGCTGTCTGCGTAGCTATAACTACAATATTTAGCAGCATCCTTTCAAACTAATTCTGAAAATAATAATAAAACAATGCAAGACTGTATGTCAGAGGTGTAAATATTGTGTTTTACACCAATTTTTCCCAGCTCACTGTCTGTCCAATGTCTACTACAGATAACTTCTTCAAACCTGACATTCATACCCTGTACTCCTATAGCTGAGAGAAGCAAATGCATTCATCAAACCGTAAGAATCAGCTTTTGAACTAGTAACATCAAACATCAAGACTGAGGAGGGGAGTCTCCCATATGAGACATGGGACAGCAGAACTTTAGTAAGGAAAAACCTGCAGGAAAACGGCTGTTAATTCTGGGTGACAATTCTTCACAGTTTCCAATTAGGAAGTGTCCAGCTGGGACAGTTTCCTGTATAAATTTCACACTAACTTCTCCAGAGGTTTATTTACTTTTCAACCCATACAGAAATTCAAAAATGCAGCTGAAATGAGTGAGAACAGGTGAAAGTAGAATAACAAAGCTACACAGAGTAAGCACTCTTGAGATCTCAAATTGACAGCCTACAGTGTGCACAAGCCCCCTTGTCTCTTCACTGCCAGATCCTCCTGAATTCTGAAACAAGCTATTGCTCTGCAAAGAGTAAAGAGACTGTGAATGTTTGTAACCTCCACAGGCAGTAAGTAGCAACTGTTCTGTAGACATCACTTCTCCTCAGAAGCAAAGAAATGAGCAGCAAATATATTGCCTCATCAGAAGGAAAAGACAGCATTGCCTGTCTCCCAGCAGTACCTGTAATGCATTGACCACTCTGATTGGGTGCTCCTCACCCAGGGCCTGGATGCAGTGCTGAAACAAGCAGTTGATGTTATCTTTTATCTTCATTAACTCTTCCCCATCCAAAGCCTCCAGCTTGCCTTCCAGATACTCCAGGTTGACCTGTCAGGTTAAGAAGCAGTTCATGCATGTTACACCCTCGCTGACACCTTAGAAACACAAGTCCTTGCACTGACAGTCTGCCACTGGCAGAACAGCAGCAGTAAATCAGAGGATGTTCAAATTTGGTTACCTTCATGAGAAATAGCTCCTCCCAAAACCGAGGGTTGCATTTACTGGGGTCCTCTGTCTGAAAGGAAAAGGAACAGCCATGAGGGCAAATAAGAAAAAATAATTCAGACAGAATTTAAAGAAAATCATTATCATGGGTAGTTCAGAGTCAACATCACCCCACTGGATGACCAAGCAGTCTCACAGTGCAGAATTCTGGCTACACAGATTCCCAGAAACAGAAGGACCAACGAAAGTAGCTCTCAATTGGGATGCCTCTGTTTATTTACTGAGATGTTTTTTGAGAAATACTGGAAAAGCCATGGCTTCCCACAGATCACAAATGGTTCTGGTAAACAACAGGACAAGATGACATCAAGAGAGCAGAATACAGAGCTCTGTATGACAGCAGGAGAGTCTGAAGCGTGTGCCTACACTGTGTAGGCCTTACCTTGGGACACAAATCCCATGTAAAGAATCCTCAGCACAAACTAAACCAAGAAAACTTAACACAGCACTTTAGAAGAAGAGATGCTCAACTCCTTACCGTAAAAATCTCATCATACATCAACACAACTTTCTCTTTCAATGGCTTCTTGGAGGCTGAAGATTTCCGGAGCAGTCCACCTTTCTTCTCTGTTTGGGCCATGCTGTATACCCTGAAGGTAAGAACAGACAAAAAGGGTTCAGAAAACTTGAACTTTTCTTCAAGGCATATCTGCCCTGCCTTAACCATGAGACTTTCTGACAAGCTGCAAGTAGGGGCTTTATAACTATACCAGATAAGAAATCAGATCAAAGGACCCATCTAGTCCTATATCCCATTTCAAAGACATTTGCAAAAGTCCAGACACAGGTAGAAATAGAATAAGCTCCTTATGGATAAATTTTCTTAATTCTTCTCTGCTAGAAACTGATTCATGATCCAGAGCAATGCAGTTTATATCTAAAAAATTACATATTTTTTAATCTCTTTGGAGGAATTGTGATACTTGATATCAAATGGATACCCAGGTCCTTTTTGATGCTGTTCAAGCCTCAAGGGCATTTGGTGACTAAAAACTCCTGAAACTGTTTGAAAAAGTCTTCTCTTACCTGCTTAATTTGCTTCTTACCAAAGCACTTCAAATTTGGCTTTTGCACTCTGAGGTGGCATCCAACACTAGGAAAGCCTCCCTAAAACACTCCTGCCACCCTTATTCATCCCTACCTCTGCATCTTGGCATCTCTTATCTGCGGCAGCTGCTCTGCAAATCAAGCCAGAGAGGAACCCCAGCCTCTAAAGCATCCCATGTGGTTCAGTTTTCAGAAGAGAATGGAAGAACACTGGGGACAAGCTTTGCAGGGATTTATTTTTTTTTTTAAACCAGATGAATTTCATGATTCATTTGACAGCAAAGGGTTTTCTAAAAACAGAAGGAGGTTTTACTGTCATTAATTGGTGTCTTACAGATTATACTATTAAAAAAAAAGAAAAAAGGAAGTACCATTATTACAAAATGAGCCGTTACACAAAGTAACACCCATAGCTGTGGTCCTCAGCCTTCTATGACAGACAACCCTCTCCAGGGGCTGAGAGTCAGAACACATGACTTGCCATGTATTCTCAACTTTGTGTCTGATTTACAAAGCACAGTACCACTCTGACCTTGCAAATACATATCTATCTGCAATCACAGATTTTCCTGGCAAGCACCACACCTCTGGCACAGTCCTAACCTCCTCTATCACTGCAGGATGTCAGAGGTACTTAGCAGAAAGGGAATGACATCCCTTCTCATATCCCTGAGCTCCCAACCTTTCTCCCATCCCTCCAAAGGTAATTACACACATGGCAGCAGCATACCATACACTTGACTTCAGTCATGCTCCTGAAAAACATGGGCAGGGTCTTGTGGCAGTTGCACTCAGCCATGATAAATTATGCATAGCGAGGTAAGTTCACTGCTGTCAAATCTAAGACCCCAGAGCTGGCAGCCATGGAGACAGCTTGGGATGTAGACTCAATCCCAGACTGCCTGAACCCCTTCCACAACCACAGTGGGTTTAGATCTGTCTTTCCCTCAAAGGCCAAGTTCCGGCAACTACTGAATACCAGTTCCAGATCTCATTCATGTTCTTTCCACTGCAGACAGCTTTTATTTGACTTAAGCTACAACTATGTTCTCAACTAGGTCTCTCAGGCTCCCCGAGTCAGTTATTCAAACATCCATCCTTTGAGGCATAAATCTTGGCTCTAAGTGGCAGAAAAACATTTTTAGGAGAAACAATGCTGCTGCAAAAGACACTACCTCAGGTGTGAAGGGAAGAAGCTTTGCCTGGATGGGAAAGGGTAAGACAGAAGAGCAGACCTCACACCTGAAAAGCCAAAATTTACACAGAAAGGCAGAGAGGTGTTCTGTCTTCTCACTAGAAAGGGAATATGCACAGCTGGCTGGTTATGGGATGGTGTGTGTGCTGGGGTGAGAATGGAAACAGCCCCGAGACACATTGACAGAAGAAAGCAACTACTGCACCATAACATTCTGTAAACACCAAAATTACTCCTGTAGCCTGGTAGGTCTATGTATCCAATTAAGATGGAAAAAGGTTTCCGACCAACAAACGAAAAGGAAAACATTTTTCAATCATCTTGATAGCTTCTCTTTCACAGACTTTGCATTATTTTTAAACTGTCATGGGAAATAAGACATTATTCTAATTAGAAACATAATTGGAAACAGAGAGAAACCTATTAAAAACCAAATCAAGTGCGATGTCACTTTTAGCCTAGCAATACGAATCCTACCCAAGATTGCACAAAACAATTTTCCTACTAGAATTCTAAGTTTCTGAACCTAGAGTAGCTGCCAGCCCCAGCATACAAACACATCCATCAGTGTGCTTCTAATTGAATTACAGCTAACGAATCCCAATGTCAAAACTAATAAACTAACTCTCAGTGCTTCTAGGTCAGCGTTCTCACATGAAATGTGTACGTGAATGGGAGGGGATCAATATGCTCTGCTTAGTCCCTGGACTTTCAGAGCTGTGTTTTAACCCTTCTCCTACATTTCCAGAAAGACAGAAAAATCTAAGTCCCTCAGGACACAAAGGTTTGATGCTGGGTGAGCATCAGAGGAATCGCATGATCATGTGAAAATTCTAGTCTGCCAGCACAGGACTTGGGATTCACATTCTCTCAACCAAAGGTGCACAGAGTACATATAAAAACAATGCTAGAGGCAAGGATTAAATAATATTCTTGACTTTAATTTGCTATTCTACAAATGAGCATATGAAGGAGCAAGGAGAGAAAAGTAAAAGTCGCCTTCCATGCCAATGCTTTATTAGGTTGTGTTTGTTTCATGACCTATGATGATCAGGCCATACAAATGGCTTTTTCTTTTCACTTTATGCAATTACATTTTCTAGATGTCATAAAGACAAACAGAAAACTGCATTTCACTAATGGAGACCTTCCAGGCAGCTGCAGAAAACAACAGTGAAATGCACAAAACATTTATAAATATGTTGTAGAGGTGTCAAATTATCCGGATGCTGCGATGCTTATGAAAACGTTATGACACTGAATATAGTTAACAATTTTCCTTTAAACATCACATTTAAAAAGCATCAGTGAGTTTTCCACATTTTAGGTTCAAACATAATTTATTCTGTCAATAGGTCATTCCCATTAACACATGCTGCTAAGTGAATCCTGCTGTATTCACTGACTACATGGGAGAACTAGCCCTCAGGGCCAAGAAAAGCACACACATGGGGATTTTTAGAACAACAAGTACTTTGCTGTGCAGCAGAAGATACAAGATGCTTCATCTGAACTAAAAGAAAACTCAACAGAACACGAGTCTTGGCAGCTCAAAAGGCAGGAAGATAAAAGCCATGGCAGACAGAAGTTCAGGCAGACTCTTGCTTTATCTCTCATCAACCCTGAGATCAGCTGATGAAGTCAGGAAGGGATGAGCACGTCCAACCATCCACCTCCTTCCTGTTTCATTCCAGAACTCGTAACAGAGATTCCAACCAAACATATGACATTCCAGTGAACACAACTGTGTTAGCTTTTCGTTAGAGTAGCCACAGGAAAAATGAAGCTGACATTTTGAGTCTGAGATTTACTCAGACTTATGCACACTGAAGGCTGTGGATGTTCCACAGTTTTTTTCATTCAGCTCCTGTACAGACTTATTAGTATTCCATAGACCACCTTTTAATAGCAAAAAATACCATAGAAAGGATAGCACTAATGCACATCTACACCATAATGACATCAGGATCCAAAACTTTTAAGTTGTGTAATCTTGCATGCAGCCCATCAAGCACAGCACTTTGCATTTAATTGCCTTGGTTAACAAACCTATAAGTTTTCAAGATTAGAGATGCACATACACAACACCCATATACAATCAAACGTGAATAAGTTTTTTTTTCAGTGTGACTCCTCAAAAAATATATTGTAACACTTCTTGGCTAGGCAAAAAGAATACAGACGACAGAAAACGGTATTTTCACACACTGACTTACTTGGCAAATCCTATCTGAAAAAGGCTGTGCAAATGATGTGATCTGTATTAGTTTGTCACTGTCAAAGCCCCAAACCTCAATCAATATTTATAAAGACTCTGAATAAGAACTGAGATACTTTTCCTTTTAGAATCCAATATCCCTTGACTTGCCAGAGCTACTAAGATCGGACTCACTTTTTCAAATATTTCAAGGCTACTAATTGCCTCCTCGCTCCCTGAGTGTATGCTCTTGGGACTCAGCATGATGATGCTTTGCCTTTCAAGATGTTCTGCAGGTACGTCACTCAAGTCTAAAGTTGTTGTTCAAAAAATACCTCAATCGTGCAAGAGGCTGGGATAAACCCCTGTCTCAAAGTTAATGTACAGCTTTCAAAGCAATGTGTTATAAGCCGTATACTCAATAAATTCCTCACTGAAGTACCAGGAAAAGCTTGCACTTAATCCACGTGATGAATCTGCAGAGTAAATACCAGACATGAGCAATAGGCAGTTAAAACACAGGTTCCAGCACTCATTCATCCCTGGAAGCAACAGACGACCTGTACCCAGTGCAAAAGTTCATGAATCCTGATTCACAGAGAGTGCCTGGACCCAGTTCAAGCTCCTGTATTAAAACCCTCAGAAGCACCCAGTAGCAGCCTGGAAGACCACAAGTGAAAACAGAGAGAAGAAGAACACATTGGATTAGATTTCATCAAGGCTTTAGCAATCATCATGGCCAAATTTCTGCTATAAGCTGTTTTGCAGCTTATTCTCCACCAATTCTTCAACTCTTGCGTTGGCGGTTGCGGTTTGTGCTAGTACATCCACACTGCTTTTGTATTGCATCCATTCTTTACAACTTCATTTGTATATTGTTCACTGCAATGAAAACTGCTTTGACTGTGCTTTCCTTTACAACTGAAAGGTGCTCAACCCACCAACAAGGGAAACAATAACACTCACAGCATACAAGCCTTGGATCCACGTGGCAAAATTCCCAGGTGCCTTCAGGCAGTATGAAAGGAGAAATATATTCTGAGGGTGTGCTGATGACAAAAGCCCACATAGATTCTACTTCTTTTTCTGCAGTACCAAGCAACAACCTCCAGCACAGTCACATACATTTTTACTGGAAAGTCCTTCCATCCTGCTTAGAGCAGAGCGGTGCATGTGCTTCTACACAGTACACGCTAAAGTTACGCCACGACTGACCTATTTTTGCCCCCTTGAAAAACAGGAAAAGTAGCTTCCTAATGCAGATATGGCCACAGACTACCTACCATTACACCTGCTTTAGCAGTAAAAGAATAACATTTCATCCATAATTGCATCTCATTTCTATCTGTCCAGTTAAAATAACACCCAATCCGTCAACTTCACACCACCAACCAGTTACGCTTCTTCCTGTGAAGCCCATCCAGATAAGCGTTGCATGCTTCCACCAGCATATATTTACACCATTTTTTCTAATTCATTTTCTCATTTCACCACTCTTTCTCTCTATATACCTGGCTACAACACCCAGCTTTCCCATGTCAGAAAGCCTCTTTGGGTTTTCACTTTTTGAGCCCTTTAGAATCCATCCCACATAGTTTAGCCTGAAATATTCCGCACTGCCCTTACACTCCCACCTAAATGCTCACATCGCTTGCAGGCCTTTTCAGATGCCTTCCTTCTGAAGAAAAACACTCTCCCTGTAACCTTCCCCTGCCCTTTTTCCATGGATTTAGCCAGCGGTGTGGGTCCAAGGCCCATGCTGAACACAGTGCAGCTACATGACCTTGCCTCCAACTTCTGAGGTAGCTGCTATGTTCTAAGAAGCTGCACAGTAAAGTCATGCCAAGATAAGAAAGGTAGAGCTGAAGAGTGGGTAACATTTTTGAGATAGGGACCATTAGCAGCACAAGTACTCAGAAGTTAAAATACAAACATAATAAGGTCTCAGTTCTAAAAAAAAATAAAGATAAAAATCAGAAAAGCCAACCAACCAACAACAACAAAACACAC